ACCAATATTTGGCCCCTTATTCATAAATGTTTGAGCAATTAACCCCAAAACTCAATTCCTACTTTCTCTTCGTGATAAAAAATAACTAACTTAAAATGTAAATTTTAAACAAACAAAAAATGAAAAAGAAAAATTACCCCTTTTTTGACCCCCGCCCCCTTATGATTCATCACCCCCACCCCCCTTTCCCCCCAAACCAAGCTCAATAACAGCCTTGCCTTTGTGGTATGGTACCTTGTAATACAATTTTAGAGAGATCCATACACTTGAACACAAGTTATTGTCTAGAAACTAAAAAATGCTTATTTTAAACCCCTTTTTAGGCCCCTTATTACTAAACGTTTTGGGCAATTACCACAACACTCAATTCCAGCTTTCCCTTTGTGAAATGGAACCTTGTAGTAAAATTTCAGAAAGATCCATACACTTACACACAAGTTATTGTCATGAAACTAGAAAAATGCTTGTTTTTTGCCCCCTTTTGGCCCCTTATTCCTAAAATTTTGAGGCAATTAACCCCAAAATCAATCCCAGCATTGACCCTTTGTGATATGGAATCTTGTGGTACAATGTCAAAGAGATCCATATGCTAACACACAAGTTATGTCTGGAAGTTACAAAAATGCTTATTTTCCGCCCCTTTTTGGCCCCTAATTCCTTAACTGTTGGTACCATAACCCCCAATCGTGGTATTGAACCTTATGGTAAAATTTCATAGAGATCCATTCACTTAAACTAAAGTTAGAGTGCGAAAACCATTGTGTATTCGGACGACGACGACGACGACGACGACGACGACGACGACGCCAACGTCATACCAATATACGACCTCAAAATTTTTTTGCGGTCGTATAAAAATTGGAGAGTAATATAATAAAACAATTGTTGACTTTTGATATCAGTTGACCTCAGTGAATATCATATCTCTAAGGTTGATAAATCATTGTATCAACCTAATCAAAAGTCAATAATTGCATTTTACTACACACAATTCAAAATGGGTACCTCTAATGAGAATGTTTTTGACTGCAACATAACTTTAACTTTACATCCATACTTGTAAATTATTACTTTAAATCATTTCTACACAAATATTTTTTTCGTAGCAGCTGTTGCAAATACCAACTAGGTGAAAATATCTCTTACTTGATATATATTATTCTAGCAGAATTGTGTTATTCTAATAAAGAATAATCAATAATTTATAACAATAAAGATTTGTGGATGATTGTCTAATGCTTCTCCTTATTTTTGTATTGTAAATGTCAACTGTTGCTGGATAACTGAGATTGAATTTTCACCCATTAAGGAGTTCTAAATTTGTTTTAAGCCTATTTGAAGCCCCTTTAAATTTTGATTTTAAACTATTTTCACTGTTCAAACTGCTGTTAGGCATTCAAAATAGCCATAACAACTCAAGCAGAGGAATTTTGTCACAAAATGAATAAAATGACACTATTTCTACAATACAAGGACAGATATATGCAATATCAGTTGTGTACAGTTAAAGTCATTTTCGTCATTATTGCATTAAAAAAGGCCTGAGAGTTATATATAATTCCCAGCACACATTCCAGCACTCTATTCTGAATTAAACAGTGTACATCTTTCACAGTTCTTTTGAATAAAACAGGATTCTGATAGTAAAGAGACTAAGAGAATATCATGATATTGAAAAAATAAAAATAGAGGATGTTATTAACACGTCTGAACTTTGAAAGGAACAAAATGACTATGAATATATCCCAGATCAATTAATTTGTATAAAAACAAATCAATATTTATTTTGATACACTGTCATATTCTGATGATAAATACATGTATGTAAATAATCATATACAATATACTTTATGATTGAAAGCATTTTTATTGTTTTAAACACAATCTAACTACCTATCTTATATTGACCACAATTAAAGCCCTCTGTTGGATGTGATTTAGAATGGCAACCCACAGGACACATTTCCTTGTTTATTGAACAATGGAATCTTAATCGAAACATAACTTGTGTACTAAGTTACAAGTTGATGAGAACACAACTTCATGGTACACTTACCTAAATTAATAAACTACAGAGAAATGAAAGTCTGCTTTATATCTAGATCTTTGCCTTGAAACTGAACCTGATGGACAACTAAAAACTATGATCTATGACAAACTCTTTATTACAGTATTATTATTTTCACCTAGTAACACACTATTTGCCAAAGCCTATGGTGTTTCATTTCTCGAACAATTGATACAATATCCCAGTGCAGGTCTCTTGTGGGCAATATCATGATTAATGGTCAACTCTTAACTGAAAAACTATGTCAGCACACCTTAAAGGAAGAACAACTGAAAATATCACTTCAAAACTTCAATGGTCACTATAATAAATTGGCTATTTATAAAATGTTCCTGTTTTCTTTTCTAATTCTACCAGACACACTTTTGCTTGTCATAAATCCTTCATGACTCAATCATTGAAGCCTAAAATTATCACCAGTTTATACATGTTTTTGGTTTAGAAAATTACTACTGGATATGTAATAATTATGATTGTATGACAGACTATTGATGTAAAATAAAAGATGCTTTCCAACTCAATGCATCTGATCTCATTCCATCTGAAATTCAGGAAATCCAATTTGCATTTACTATTTTCTCTCTGATTTTTTAAGCAGATGTACATTTCAATGCAATAACTTAAGATTTGAACTATAATAACTCAACTTGCATGTCTTTATGTCATGACTACAATCCCGTTCCCTTTTCACAAATGTGACCTACCGAATTAGACTATTTACCAGGTTTGTAATAACATGAGCAACACGACATGTGCCACATGTGGAGCAGGACCTGCTTACCCTTCCGGAGCACCTGAGATCACCCCCAGTTTTTGGTGGAGTTTGTGTTGCTTAGTCTTTAGTTTGACTGTCCCTCTGGTATCTTTCGCCCCTCTTTTTTTGCAGAAACCTGAATATCCTTTATCTTTGAGCTTACCGAAGAAGTGGCTTTAAAATTACATTTCTTAAATTTTCCATTGATACATTTAGACATTACAAAACAAAATTAAGGTTCCAATTCCCTCAGGCAGAGTTGTCCTTAAGGTTTTGGTTATTCTTTTAAGGTTCCTTTTTTTCATATAGCTATTGAAGTATTTATACAGCACTGTTACTGTTGAGTGTTCCTGATGAAGATAAATCAACAAAAGCTTTTTGCACCAAATTAAACAACATAAAAATGGGTAATAAACCTACTCAAAATAGAACATAACATTGCAAGTTTAAATTTTACCTTGAAAGCAACCTCAGAAATGGGAAATATCTTCTATGTAATGTCAATAAAAGCCACTGAACCTACACCATATAAAAAGAACAAGAGAAGTAAACTTAAGAGAAGCATATAAAAAGTTTTTTTTTTAAATTGAAGAACGAAAATGAGACTGAGAAAACCTAATCAAACATAAAAAATCAAGAAACAGCAAGAAAACCAGAGTTTAAGCAAACTCTTACAAAATTAAATCTTGTATAAATAAAAAAAACAGTTACCTTTGTTTCCTGCTGTCTCATTAAAAAAAAACCAGGTAAATATGTCAAATATGAAGGCTACAAATGGGCGTATTGCATTTCCGCTAATTTTTCAAAGTTCCAATACTACGTTTCCGAAAACTTAAAGTATACGTTTCCAGAATTTGTATTTATTACATTTCCGGAAATTTACCTTGTAGTAAATTATAAATATTTGAATATATGTTAGATAAATTATTTATTTTATATTTTTATACAAAAAAGGTTCTGATCTTATTCATTTCATGCTTCTACAATCAGTTGTTGCAGGCTTCATTTAGGACAAAGTTGGTAGCGTAAAATTCAGTCGATAGGTCTTAGTGCCAATTACAAGGACAAAGATTCGGATTTTGGAAAATGGCTGACACATTTCTTTGGTTTGGCTTACTTGCCAAACAATAAGATTGAAGAATGCTTTGTAGAATTAATAGCAGATGCTCCATCTGACGATAAATGTATGAAGTTTGCAAATTACATATTGGAATTTTATATAGATGGCAATTCGAGATTTCCACCAACAATTTGGGCATCACCTCCTGACCCAGAGGAAAAGAGAACAACAAATGGTGCCAAGTCTTTTCATGCCCACTTGAAAGAGAAGTTTTACATTTTTGGCTTTGTCGATGTGCTATTAAATCTGCAAACAACATCATACATAAATATGAGAACTTTATCTATTAAAGCACCCGTTCGAAAATATGAAAAGGAGAAGATGGACTTCCTTGTTGAACAAAACACAAAAGTTGTAAACGGGGAATGTACTACTGTGGTATTCCTTAATTATTTTCCCAGAAAAGTTATCATTTATTTTTTCGGGAATCGTTACTATTTTCCCGGAAAAGTAAGGTATTTATTTCCAGAAACGTCATCTTTTTTTTCCGGAAAAGTAATGCCAATTTCCGGAAACGTAAAACACCGTTACAAAAGATTACTTTGACTTATCAATGCCTAAATTAATTGGTTGAACTATAGGAGACGTTGAGTGGAAAAATGATGTAACTTTTGGCAGTGTCATTGATTTGTTGCTATGCATGAAGGATGTAACTCATGTAAATAACCTTACCAGTTGTCTATGTAATGCTTTTGTACACATAGTGTTGCCTTGTGCACAACAAGTTATTACATCAATATAATTTGCATGACAATGTCTTTTCAATCAAGGCAAATTACTAGCCATAATCTTCATGCTATTGGTGTCAAGCCATGGAGAAATATAGAGCTAAATGAGGTGGACACAGAAGGGCAGTCTCCAATTTGATCAACAGGGCAGAAGACAGAATCACAAAAAATGATATAAGTACCCAAGAGGGACACATGCCAGCATGGACAGAAGAGAAGGAGTAAAACAATATAAACATAACTTTTCTTCCAGGGGGATAAAAAACTCATTGTGCTTTCAAGGTTGACCCTTCAGAGTTTTGTTAAGGAAAAGAAAAATATGATTTTTACCTTTTTTCCCTGACAATTTTTTGTTTATAAATTCAAACACATCTGTAGGATTCTGCTTTGAAACTGTTTTCTGTTTTGGAACCTTGCTTTTATTTTTTCCTTTTTGCTGTTTCTTCAAAACATCAAACAAATCTTGATCCCCTGCTAGCTCCTTTAATTCCATGATTCTATCTAATGACTGTCCTATAAAAATACAAAAGATGAATGAGATATCCACATACTTTTTATATTTGTATTTGTGATACCTCCCACTCCCCTTTTCCCCCTTTCAAGTTCAGTGACAGCTTATTCATGAAACTGTTGAAAATTAAAACACACAAAAAAGCTTGATACATAAAAAATGTGAAATATGAAAAAAAGTGTGAAAGAAGATTTTCAAAAAAGATTTTAAACAAGAGTGCACACGCTGAAATGTCTCGCCTACTATACTGACCATTGGTTTTATGTTGATAGTCCTACATATAAAGTTTTACTACAACACATTAACATTTATGATCCAAGAAAATGAGGTCAATGTCAGATAAACTAAGCCGGAAATACATGTACACCTTTAATACAATCATTCCATACACAGAATATAGATAACCTATTGCTTATAGTATAAAAGAAACAGACCAAACCATGGAAATTCTATACTGACCAATGAACCATGAAAATGAAGGCAAGGTCAGATGAATCCTGCCAGACAGACATGTACAACTTAAAATCATTCCATGCATCAAATATAGTTGACCTATTGCTTTAAGTATCTAAGAAACAAAGATAACCAGGAAAACTGAACATTGACCAATCAACCATGAAAATGAGGTGAAGGTCAGATGATACCTGCCAGACAGACATATACACCTTACAATCATTCCATAAACCAAATATAGTTGACCTATTGCTTAAAGTTTAAGAAAAACAGACCAAAACACAAAAACTTAACATTGAGCAATGAACCATGAAAATGAGGTCAAGGTCAAATAAAACCTGCCAGACTGACATGTACATCGTAAAATATTTCCATACACCAAATACAGTTGACTTACTGCATACAGATTTAGAAAAACAGACCAAAACACAAAAACTTAACATTGAGCACTGAACCATGAAAATGAGGTCAAGGTCAAATAAAACCTGCCAAACTGACATGTACATCGTAAAATATTTCCATACACCAAATACAGTTGACCTATTGCATACAGTATTAGAAAAACAGACCAAAAACACAAAAACTAAACTATGACCACTGAACCATGAAAATGAGGTCAAGCTCAGATGACACCTGCCAGTTGAACATGTACACCTTACAATCATTCCATACACCAAATATAGTAGACCTATTGCTTATAGTATCTGAGATATGGACTTGATCACGAAAACTTAACCTTGTTCACTGATCCATGAAATGATGTCGAGGTCAAGTGAAAACTGTCTGACAGGCATGAGGACCTTGCAAGGTATGCACATACCAAATATAGTTATCCTATTACTTATAATAAGAGAGAATTTAACATTCCAAAAAATCTGCACTTTTTTTTCAAGTAGTCACTGATCCATGAAAATGAGGTCAAGGACATTGGACATGTGACTGACGGAAACTTCCTAACATGAGGCATCTATATACAAAGTATGAAGCATCCAGGTCTTCCACCTTCTAAAATATAAAGCTTTTAAGAAGTAAGCTAACACCGCCGCCGCCGTAGCCGCCTTTGCCGGATCACTATCCCTATGTCGAGCTTTCTGCGAAAATATATGTTTTTCCCTACCTGAGAGCATAATATGATATTTAGACTACAGATTATCATTACAATTTTCAATGCATATTAAGCATGTTTAGTTCAAACATTTTCAAGCTACCAATTTTTTGTGCATTTGTTTTGCATTCTTCAATAATGTCATACATGAATACTAATTATCTACCATTATATCAAGGTAGGTATTTTAAAATTTTTAATTGGCTCCATACTAGTTATTTCATGTCAGCCTCTTTGTGAATTCAACTTGATTGCCTGGAAGTGAACTATATCAGTCCGTATTATTCTTATGCAAAAAGAAGTTCTGCAAATATATATATACAAAGTCGTAAAATCTCCACAATAATGGAAAAAATTCAACTCTTTCATGATATCATGCATGCAGTTCTCTAAACATGTGTTCGGTGATAAATGCCAAACACAAAATTTGTCAGTTGAACCTTAAACCTAATTCATTTTTACTGGAAGGTGCATAGTTTTTCACCTTACATTCCCATATGAATACAAGGAGGTGTAGAGAAAGATTGAAAAACATCTTAAAAGGGTCTATTAAAATATTTGCCTAAATTTAGTCAAAAATATACTGTTACCTTGAGGTATAAGTTGAATAGGTACAGGTTCCACTCTGCCAGAGCCAGATTTTCCTAATCCTTGACCATAAATATAACCCATTTTTTTCATCAACTTCATACCAATACCCTGGGAAAATAACAACATAATACATTCAATACTTGGTTGGTTGAATAAAACTGTTCATTTGATGTTTTGTCAATATTTCTGGGCAAACTGAAATTTCCTGGCTTGACTCTTGTCCATCATTTCTAATTATTTCTGTGATAAAATATTATATCAAATTTATGAATCATTTAATATGTTTGTTAATCTGGTCTAAGCATGAGATTAAGTATGCAAAACTGTTTTTCCTACTCTGCAGACATCATTAAACAGAAACAAATGTACAACTGATAGTAAGTTGAAATGAACTGTTTAGGACTATAAATTTTTCATAAGATTTTATATGAAAAGGCCCACATTCGAGAAGAAGTCATTTCCTAAAGAGATACAGATTTTGGTTGTTTGGTTTCTATTATTGTGAAGCCAATTTATTACTGAAAGTTGATGTGCAATTTTGACAGACTATGTACTGTCTGCAAGACTAATTTTGTTTATGTCAGATCCCCAGTCTTTCCCAACTAGTTCAGACTTAAAAACATTTTGAGCTTGTCATATAAAGTATGATATAACACCTTTCCCAGTAACACTCATAATTCCTCCATATTTCCTCAGTTTATATTTATTTATTTTTGAACTGAACTCATGAATGTTGTTCTTTTAATCTACATGTATCCTTGTTCCAAAAAATGAGCAAGTGTGAGCTCTTGGAATCAACATTCCATTTCCACTACAACACATAAAGATAAATATGTATTTTTGCTTGTTTTTGTGATGAAGAAAGATCAAATGAAAATACATCTATATATTTCACAAGATCCTACAACAAAAAATTGTATAAAGTGCATAATGTAAATCAGAAACCTTTGTATGAGCTTCCCATTCCCCAAATGTGTCAGAGGTTGATGATGGTCTCCATAGGAACACAGGAAGTTCATCTTCTTCACTCTCACTTCCAGAAAGAGGCTGAGTTCTGTCATTATCACTGTTATCAGAGTCTTCTGAATGTTTGTCTAAAAATAGTTTTATATTCATACTACAAGACAAAATGAATGTTCTGTAACCATACAAAAAAATCCATTATGTTTGTTTTCTCAAAATAAATATCTATTCAATTGTTAACCCATAATGACTATTTTACCATCTTTATATATATATGTATCAACCTCCTACAGTAGAAGAACCTAAAATCAGATCATTTGTCCTTGACCAATCTTTGTAGAGAATTTATTCTCCAGAGGCCTAAAAGAAATCCACCAATATAAATGTATATACAGGAGTGTTTAAAAACCTTGACTGTGCATGCAGATCTCACCTGGTCAGTGTAGTGCTATTAAAGTAAAATGTATGTGCTTTTGAAACAAAATAAACACTTTCGGTCTGCAGAATGCTAGATTTTTCCAAACATTCTATAACCAATTTCAGTTTGCATAGTGTAGAAAAACAAAATAAATTCCATAATGGCTACCATAATGGGAGTATATCCTTCATATGATCGTCTCACTACTCCATAAAATAGGCTCTTTTTACTTTTAGCAAACTTGTAATCCAACTGAAGTAAAAAACTGTTACATAAATGATTTCAAATTCTGGTAATCATGGTAATAATTCACAGTATATTTCTATATAAGAGGAACACCATCCCAATTCCTTGGATGGGTTGTAACTAGTGTCAAAATGTAATTGAGGCCTCAGTTGCTGAGTGGTCTAATTAGTTCATTTACAGCAGCCTTTCAAAACTACTGAGGTTGTGAGTTCAAACACTGCAGGTGGCAGGTACGTTCAACTTCAATCTTAATTGACTAGGATGGCCAGTTTTCCTGCCTGAGTAGTGTTTTTCTCCAGGGCACTCCAGCTTACTCCACCAATAAAATCTGGCCACCACAATATAGCCAAGAAAATTATTTACTGCCCAAACAGAGCTTATACTTGCCTAGACAGTCAGACTTGTGTGTCATTGTGAAGACTGCAATACAGCCTTATTTTCTAAAATTGGGTCATATTTAGAAATAACATACCATAGGGAACAATATCTTTTAATTCAAGTTTAGCTGTCTCATCGTACGAGTTGTACATTACTGTCACATGGTCATCGTCATGGAGATCAACAATCATCCCCTGATACCAGAGATCATCTTCGTATCTAGCCAAACATTTATCTTCAAGTTTGAGCTTACTGCAAGTAAAATGTCCAAGTTAACAATTATAAATTAAACTCTCATGCAATCAATTGAACAAGTTTACAAATAATTTGATTTAACTAAAACAAGAAAAACCAAATGTTAAACCTGAACATTGTGTATCAGGCAGGATACACAGCAAATTTTCATATGCAATTAAAACTGTACAAACAAAACAACTGTTTGTTCTGAATGAAATATTTAGTTCCTAAATTGGTTCAGTTCAGGTAGGTTTGTGATAAACAATTCAATTTTATTTTTTTTTTATATTTAGAGAATTTGGTGTTGACAGATTTCTGATAATTTCTTTATACATAATTAGTTGCAGTCTCTGAGACATATACCCACATCTCCCTTAATTTTCTCCCTTTGTTTTCATTCCAAAAATAAAAATTTAAGCTTAATTCTTATTTGTTTGTTTAATTCAAACTGTAATTATTTCTCATTGCAAGTACCTGTAATCTGGTTCTTTGTATTCGTCTAAATCGTCTAGACAAATTGGATAACCATGAGAATATCTATAAAAATAAGATGAAACATGTCAATAATCTAGACAAACTGAATTTGAATAGCCACAAGAGTATCTGTTAACAAAAGTAGAAACATGTCAATCATCTAGAGAAACTGAATATGAATCGCCACAAGAGTATCTGTTAACAAAAGAAGAAACATGTCAATCATCTAGACAAGCTAAATATGAATAGGCACAAGAGTATATGTTAACAAAAGAAGAAACATGTCAATCATCTAGACAAACTGAATATGAATAGGCACAAGAGTATCTGTTAACAAAAGAAGAAACATGTCAATCATTTAGACAAACTGATATGAATAGGCACAAGAGTATCTGTTAACAAAAGAAGAAACATGTCAATCATCTAGACAAACTGATATGAATAGGCACAAGAGTATCTGTTAACAAAAGTAGAAACATGTCAATCATTTAGACAAACTGAATATGAATAGGCACAAGAGTATCTGTTAACAAAAGTAGAAACATGTCAATCATTTAGACAAACTGAATATGAATAGGCACAAGAGTATCTGTTAACAAAAGTAGAAACATGTCAATCATCTAGAGAAACTGAATATGAATAGCCACAAGAGTATCTGTTAACAAAAGAAGAAACATGTCAATCATTTAGACAAACTGAATATAACAGGCTATTATTTGAACTTGGAATTATTTTTAATTATGGAATTTGCATTATTTCTTGTGCTTGAAATTTTGAATGAATTCCATGTTTATTCTGTATTATAATGTTCTGTGCTGCGCACAACACTTTCTATTACAAAGAATATAGCACATTTTCAATAGAATGTACTGTGCCGCACACAACACTATCTATACAAAATACATTGTGTGGAAAGTGTGATGCACCGCTCAAAACATAATAATACTTAATAAACATGGAATTTATCAAAAATTTCAAACACATGAAATTATGCAAATTCCATAATTAAAAATAATTCCAAGTTCAAATAATAGCCTGTTATATGAACAGTTATCAATATACCTAGGCGGTTAATAGAAGAAACATCTATGTACATATATGTTACTTTTGCATTTATATATATTTACAGTCAGACACTGATAAAAAAGGAATGTGGGCCTGATGCAGTTATTAGGTTAGCTTAAAATTATAATGAAAAATTTCAGAATAGAAAAAACGTATTCATTGTGGAAGAGGATTGTAGGGTCCTTTTTCATGTCTTAATCTAAACATGGTTGATCCAGTACATCTGTTACACAAAGTACAAAACTAGGTGTATTAAAAAAAGTATGAAATAATTAATAAAACATACTTGCATTTATCATCTGGAAACCTACACTGACCCTCCAGGAAAAACTTGCATGGAAGCATGGAATTGTGGGTAGGATTACAAAACATGACTAGAACCTGAAAAATATATTTATATAGATACATGTATTCATAAAAGTATTCAAATCATTTTTTACATCGCGATGACCTTGAGGTCATTTCGATGTATTGCTATCGGCTAGATTTCCATTATGTAAATTAGTTTTGGGTTTGTAACTGATCTATAAACATGATAAATACGCGCACATAAACGAGTGCAAAATAACATTCCTTATCGTTTGATATAAATACATCTCTTCAATGAATACTGATAAAAATATTTTTGTTTACAACATAAATTAATAACATGAAAATGTTTTGTAGTTAAATATATATATATAAGTAAAAAATCATTGATAATATCAATGCACACGTACCGAAAAATTGTGTTAAAGCATGCGGAAGAATATCTCAAAGAACGTTTTGTGAAAATACCGTCAAGGACCGCTAACTCTGTAATTGTTTTTGCGGGAAAATATGAATGCCTACTCGTATCCAATCTTAGAAAAATCGAATTTTTACAGAAAAGTGTCCACCATGCACTTGCATTGCACTATTTTTAGAATAGTAGAATAGAATGATATACAAATGGATTCAAATCATATATATATGTAACTGTTATTTTAATATAATATAAACAACAAATCAGTGTATCACTACAATATAATAGTTATTACGGTGAAGTTGAATTTCCTGTCATTTATTCATCATCCACGCACGAACTTGTCTCAGAAAAAAATATATCTCTGTACATTAACCTCAGTTTTAGGTAAAGAGATATGTTGTTTTTTCTGAGACAAGTGCTTTTGACCATCCTCAAGAACTTGTGGTCATCCGATGTTCAGTACTTCAGTACTTTGATTTTTAGATTGATAACCTTAGATAAATAATACAACATTTTATATGCAGACTTTGTGAAAACAATGAAATCAAGTATCATTCCAAATACAATTTCTTCCTTCATCCAGGAAAATTGGCACCAACAATGACTTCATGGCTGTATGGTTGAAACAATTCCTTTGAAAATTTTGAATTTGTCATCATGACTTTATTAACTGTTACAAAATATTTGTCATGTTTGTGTCCCCATCAAAAAATATGTATTTCCCTAAAATTTCCCCTGAAATGTTTAAGATCATAAAAATTTTTTTTTTTTATAACAATCAATGGTTGCCTATAATTGCTTACATCCACTTCATTTGAACTTTGGTGTATAGCTGTCTCATTGGCAATCATACCACATCTCCTTATTTTTATAATGTTATTATTTTTCAGGGTATGTCTTATGGTGGCATTAACATTAACTCCATATTATTCCCCATTTACACATTGCATACAGTTAAATATATACTTATACTTGAATGTCCCAACTTAAATTGTTCAAGTTACATACAGGGATTTTTTTGTAAATGAAGCTTTAAAAAATAAATTCTACTATGAAGGGGTCTTAAAGAGTTTTTCAAGGTACATTGTACATGTATGAAACGGGTTCTCTGTGAAAAAAATCTCTGTTCTATTATATATACATGTATCACGTACCTTAGGTATATTATCATCAGAGTCTGGATTCACAACTCCTGTTATCATGGCATTATAATAACTTAAATTTCCCCAATCAAATGAAAATGGAACACGACATATTCCACCAATCAAATCTTTAAATTGTTCAGTGTAATCACTGTCAAAATTGTCACTGTTATCATCTGCTCCATTTTTCTCTTCCTTTTGTAAGCGGGAGTTGTGTCCCTTACCAATGTCACTGCTTGAATGTGTGGAAGAGGTTGGTTCTTCATTACCGCTTGTCAGTTCATTTCCAAGCATTGCCTAAATTATTAATTTATTAAGATGTACAATTTAAAAACATTCGAGAGAGATTCAAGGTAAGTTTCATGCAGTGTTCTGATTTTATAATTTATTTTTACCGATTTGTCTATAAAAGTTAACCTAATGGTTCTGTTTAACGTTTATATGCCTGTATATGATTATTGAACTTTGCAGGTACATGGTCATGTTTTAAAATAGGAAAATTATGAAATATCTCTGGCAGAACTTGCAATTCAAAATTTGAATGCTTCTTGGACTTTCGTTCTGAAGGCAAGGAAATGCAGTTCACTGCCACTGCAGCAAATGATCTACACAAAAAATCATCAATGTCATAATTAACCATACATACTATAGAATGGGATTACTATAGCTATGAGATACACATTTATAAATAAATAAGCCTCAAAGCAATAATGTCATACAATAATAAAAATTCTTCAATGCAGCAGTCTAATGTAACCAACTTTTGCAAAAACACCAAACAAAAGAACAACAAATTGAAATTTTATCAGAGAAAATCTGCAACTGGTATGAAATATCAACATACCAGTTTGACACCTGAAAGAAAGTCATGAATCAAGATCTAGAGCTCAACAAACCATGGAAGATTGATTAACCAATCAGGAAGCAGATAGGCAACATCTCCACTCCAAAAATTGTTCACTTTCTTTTTCGCAAAAATAAGTAAATTGGAAATAGAAATGTATATGGAAAAAAGTAGGTGTTAAAATCATTCTAGATTTAAAAATTGAAATGAATTATTGTAGAAATCTTTTTTTCTTGTTAAAAAAAAAAATTATTTAACAATTTTTAGGAGCAGAAAACAAATCCTTAATTAACTTTGGGTTGTATTTTATGATTTGTACAAATGTTAATTAAGTTTGGGTTGTATTTTATGATTTGTACAAATGTTAATTAAGTTTGGGTTGTATTTTATGATTTGTACAAATGTTAATAAACTGTGGGTTGTATTTTATGATTTGTACAAATGTTAATTAACTTTGGGTTGTATTTTATGATTTGTACAAATGTTAATAAACTTTGGGTTGTATTTTATGATTTGTACAAATGTTAATTAACTTTGGGTTGTATTTTATGATTTGTACAAATGTTAATTAACTTTGGGTTGTATTTTATGATTTGTACAAATGTTAATTAACTTTGGGGTTGTATTTTATGATTTGTACAAATGTTAATTTACTTTGGGTTGTATTTTATGATTTGTACAAATGTTAATTAACTTTGGGTTGTATTTTATGATTTGTACAAATGTTAATTAACTTTGGGTTGTATTTTATGATTTGTACAAATGTTAATTAACTTTGGGTTGTATTTTATGATTTGTACAAATGTTAAATAAAGTTGTCTACCTGAAAAGCAGCATATTCATCATCAATCTTTGACGATGAAGACTGTGGTTGATTGTCAGTGTCATGGTTCTCTAAACTCTTTAATATTTCACGTTTCTTCCGTGCTAATAAACTCTCTGTCAACAAAGATTGTTATTAAGGTTATGAGTTAGATATGTGTTTATATGTATGATGTCTCAAATTCAAAATATGTCAGTGTATGTAAAGCATTCAATAGACATGATAGAAATGAATTATTGTTTAAATTTTAATATCACACACTAGACTAATGTCTGAGTCCAGGTAAAATGTTTTCAGGGTAATAATACATTTGTTAATTGTAAATTACATAGAAATGTTTGTATACTAGTAAATTAGTAATGAAGTTTGGTTTTTCAATCAGATGTAGAGCACCTTTCAACATGTTCAAACATATTACAATCATATTATTTTTTTTAATCTGTCAATATATCTATAACATAAACTCTTATAAGTTTGTGGGTCTGTACACCTTGAAATTTATACTTTAAATATTGTCTATACTGAGTCCATCTCTGATTTAAAGTTTGTGTTCATTTAAAACAGGCAGTAAGATTTGAAAAGTGTTCAATTTAAATGTAAACAATACTTTATAAACTTTGTGTGTCGAAAATAGATATAAAAAGATGTGGTATGAGTGCCAATGAGACAACTCTCCATCCAAGTCACAATTTATAAAAGTAAACCATTATAGGTCAAAGTATGGTCTTCAACACGGAGCCTTGGCTCACACCACACAGCAAGCTATAAAGGGCCCCAAAAATTACTAGTGTAAAACCATTCAAACGGGAAAAACAACTATCTAATCTATATAAAAAATGAGAAACAAGAAACACTTATGAACCACATCAACAAACGACAACTACTGAACATCAGATTCCTGAATTAGGACAGGTGCAAAGTACTGAAAACAATTGCAACAGGTTTAAACGTTTTAATGGTACCAAACCTTCACCCTTATCTGAAACAATAGTGTAACATCACAACATAGAAAGAGACACTATAAAATATCAATTGAAATGGCTTAACTCAATCAAAAAACATATTAACACAAGTGTACATACACTGAATGCATAAATTTGATCTATGATACAATGTAAATGCAAAATCAATAAAATAAGGGATGAATAATTAAAGTAACAGTATTATACCGCTGTGAAATGTTAAACAATTTCAGAAAACCAACAATAAACTTAAACAAAAATCTGCCATTTACAATAATATTATACACAGGTAAATGAAAATAATTTAGGTTGTTAGGTATACAGTTTAAAAGGAGAAAGGAAATATTTTTACAAAATAAATAATTTTGATGTCCATAGTTCGAAGAAGTGAAAATTTATAGTAATCATGGTAATACCAAACACTTATCAAAGCTGGTATATAGACCAGATATAACCCTGAATAAGTAAACATTAAATAACAAAAAAGCATTACAAATAGTATCAACAGGTCAAATTAACAAGAAAGTACGATTTGAGAGTACTCTCAGTTACTGACAGTAAGTTAAAAGCCAAAAAACATTAATAATAAAAAAATCATGCATCAGCGAAAGCACTTTTCTGGATTCACCTTCATCAGGAATGCTAAATAAATTTACATTTTTGGATGCAAAGAATGTATAAATACTTAAACACATTAGGAGCTACATTTTGTATATGACCATGACATATTGAATAGTCAAATTCACCAAACTGCCAAAGGTCAACTTTGCCTGAGAAAGTTGGAACCTAAGTTTCTTTGCAAGTTCTTCATTTGTCAACAAGAAATTTTAGAAAACTATGTTATATGCTTAACGCGTAGTAAGATTTAATAGGTTTCAATAAAGATTATATATATATGGAACATTTCTAAACAGTACTTTGATCATGTTGATTTTAAACAAATAAAAATTGAAGGTACAATGTATAAGGAGTGAATGTACACTCTGCCCCAAAAGAGTTCCCAGTGTTCAGTTGAGACAGCCTGTCTTATATGAACACTTGGAACTCTTTTGTGGCAGAGTGTACATTCGCTCCTTATAGGTTTCATTTCTGTAAATATAGACAATGCCATTTCCCATAGGAACTCCTTTTACGGCTAAAACTGTACCACTTTTACTATAAAGTTTCGTAAAAAATCATATTCTAGAATGGGAAGTTCATATGCACTACTATTTTTTCCAAATGTCAAAACATAGGGTTGTGCAGCATATTTTTAACATTTATATGCCCCAAACTTCTAAGAGTTTAAACTTATACTAAAATTCTGTACAACCCCTCCATTCACTTTTGGTCTTCCTCATAATTCAATTTCACCGCTATCCATGTGTATTTATACTGGTAATATTCTCAAGATATCACAGGTGATGTTGTATATATACATTGTACTTGCCATTGGTAAGACTAATGACCTCTTTTAAATCAGACTTGAGTTGTAATAGATCTGCATTATCTCCAGCTGCCTGTAATGCTTGTTCTACCTGAGATAGCTGAAACAATACATTCTTAATTAGCTGAAGTAAAAAATACAGCTTGTGTGTGTGTTAAACCAGGAATTATGTTTTAATTGGAATAAACATTTTTGGTGCAATAAAAGTTTATATCATGTATCTTCTTATTTCTATATATATTAAAAGAGCTTGTGATCATGACATATTGAATTACTTTAATATTATCCAGTATTTATGAAAGAGTTAAATAAAAAAATAACGAGATGTGGTATGATTGCCAATAAGACAACTATCCACCAAAGTTCAAATGAAGTGGATGTAAGCAATACACCTTATCGCTATTTGTCAACCATTATTAGGCATCCAGAAGTTCCTGTAAAATTTTGACATCACAAGAGAAAATGTCTGACGCCACAAAGGAAAAGTGATTGTTGTATGACTTCAATAGTTCAAGTCTCGCAAATTCTCGGGTCAAGTGTTGCAGATCCCCAAATAGCTATAACATGTATAAGGTCTATTATAGGCAACTGTACGGCCTTCAATAATGAGAAAAACCCATACCGTATAGTCAGCTAATGTATCTTTTTCCTAATTCAAACTTTATATAACTTGACTTTATGTACATTGTATGAAGTTTGAACAGACAGGCAGATAAAGCATTATGACCGGTGCTGAGGTGCTTATTTTTACTTTATGTTGAAGACATACATGTAACTAACACTTTAAGATGATAAAAAAACAATAAAAGAGTTGTTTCTTTGCTTTGTCACTAAACATGCACTCGCTAGCACACAAATTCCATCCTGCAGAACACAGATATGTCAGCAATTATTCTTAATTCCATGACAATTAAAATGCTTTTAGGGTCTACAAAGATTTGAGATTTTTATTGACCAATGATGGACCGTCGGCAATTTAGGAGCACATACACATAGTATAACAATTTCACAATAATTATACAGTATAACAATTAAGATACATATACTTGGTAAAAAATTATAAAAGATACATTGGTTATGAAACTTTTTATTAGACAATCAAAGCATCATCATGATCATTGATTTTGTTTTAAAAGAGAGTTGACTTGATACCTATCGATGATTGGGGCCTTCAATGATTTATACATTATTATTCAAACTTTAGGTTTATCATATTTGTCAAACATTAAAACCCACTATTAAACCCCTTTTTGGTTTTATAAAACAAAGAATAATTGACCAAGGTTTTCAAGAACAACATGCAAATATTTCATCATCTCCAAAATTAACATTTTTCCAGAGTGTTTACAAAATGAGTGAATGTGCAGCTTATGTTGATGCTTTAAGACATAGATCAGATTGATCCTCATTATGTAATTATATATAAATTAAGAATAAGTGCTCATAGCCTTGCCACTGAAAGAGGAAGATATTAAAAAGTGCACAGGGGTCCAAGAATTTGTGAAATCTACAAAGTGGTGAAATTGAAAATGAACAGCACATGCTACTACATTGTAGAGGGTACTCCAATATCAGAGCAACTTTTGAATTCAAATGTCAAAAATTACTAAAATAAGTAACACTCCTTTGTGCAAAATAAAATAAAGCTTTTACATAAAGGGGCATTAGCCACGAGATATAAAAAAAAATTAAAATATGATTTTTGTTGTTCAATCATTAATGAAAGTGAAATAGTGAAATAATAATTCGCTTTAAAAAGCTAGTATGGTTCAATTTTATCAAAATAAGCTAAGAAACATTGCTGATGAGTTATTCACTTGCAAGTGAATAATTTGACCTCATTGAATCCGTATTCATGTGACCTTCAATTTAACCCCTTAGCTAGAGATTGGTTACGCATGAATTAGGCGTGTTCAGTTTTAAAAGGAAAAGAATGTCAACATTGAAAGTGAAACAAGGGTAAACTATTTAACTGACTCATTCAATCCACAAAAGCTCATTCTTATACAGGTAAAAAACGATGATTAACATATATTTGTAACCTATTATATTAAATCAAACAGACCTAGAAAAATCCACTATTTATCTATATTTATGTTTATATTGGATTATATGACCGTCTGCAATCTTTGGAGGTCACCTCGATGGTTATTCAAAAAGTAAACATGGCAGGCATGTTTAAACCCGTAACAAATTTCAACTAGCAAATGTGTAGTTAACACTAAATATAAATAATGGAACTTGATGAAATCATTCAGTGATCAATAGTGACACAAACATTGGAAAATGAATCCCGACAGATGAAAATTAAGAAGCTTAAAGATGCCGTGAGTACATTGGGATTCAATGTTTTACAGAATGTACCATATGACGGGAATTGTTTTTTTCATGCTGTTGGCCTGCTGTGTGGGAAAGATGGCCACCTTTTTCGAGAAGAAACTGTTTGTTTCATAGAACAGGAAGTAGGTACTACTACCGGTGAATATAGTACTGACCACCGACTATTCCAATGACAAAACTGTCAAAGTCGCCAGCATGGAAATCAAATCCCCCCTTGCAAAAACAAATTAAAACTATCAAAAAAGAAGGGCAATGAACGAATAAAAGACAAACCCAGGAATAAATAAGACTCACAAGGACAAACAATAACATTCAACATTGAAGCCCCAAAATCTTATTAAATACGCTTCTTGTATCGTTGATATTCCTCTCCCAAAACTTAGAAAAATTAAATGACACACCAATGACCAAAACACTCCTGACTTGGGACAGGTACATATAAATGGGATGGGGTTAAACTGGGATTTGTAGGATCCGTACCGTCCCCTAGCCAAGCTAATCATGTATCTGTCCAAGGACAAAATCTAAAATTGATTTTTTTCAGAGAGAGAATCAACTATGTTTTTTCAAGAATTTTTAATAGATGCTAATTTAACTGCTTGTTTCTTATAATCCATTATATTATAATAAGATACACGTAGTTCATTCATAAAATTTGTCTCTTCAGTTTACTTTTATCATGAACACATGATGTGTTTATAATAAAAGGAAACTAGAAAGACATATGAAGCCATGTCGTCTTTAAAATCTCCAAATAGAGCAATGTTAAGCCAATAATAATATGTTGAAATAAATAGTACCTTCAGTGCGATATATCATGTCTATGGTTTATACGTTTTCCTCAAGAAAATATCAGCCAAATAATCGTTTAAAAGCGTGTTGGAAGAGTACGGATATCCATGTATTTGACGTTCTTAAACGCATATATAACCCTGAAATTGGCTTACTCATTTTAAAAAAAAAATCTAAACTGTGGGAGGGGAGAGCCCCTTCCACACCCACCCCCTCTTTAGAAAACCTTCCAACGGTCCTTATTAAATATGAGAATTTGAGTCAAATCGGTGAACATGAATTTGACAGCTAATGCCCCTTTAATAATAAATCTTACATGGCACTAAAACTGTATTCCTCTTTCGTAACAATTTGTTTTAATGTGAGAAGTAATCTTTTGCAATAGATTATCATTATACATGTATTTAATATACACCTTATCGCTATTTGTCTGCCATTACTGGCCATCACAACGGTTCCTGTAAATTTTGACATCGAAATAGAAAATATTTGTCGCCACAATGGAAAAGTGATTGTAATATGACGACAATAGTTCAAGCGGCGCAGATTCTCAGGTCAACTGGCGCATATTTCCAAATAGCGATAAGGTCTATTCACATAATTATTTGCATTTCACTACCATGATATCCATTCAGTCATTACCATTTATTGTAAATGTGTTAATGCCAATAAAATATTGTGTATTGTCTACATTGATAGTCGACCTTCCCATTGATACACAGGAGCTCAGGATTCTTAACTTTGAACATAGTATACTCTATACCCAATGACAAGCATATTACGTTCTAAATTAAGATTCCCGATCCCCTATAGGCTATAACATTGTATAAATTATTTGATAGAATCAAGTGTATGTGTTGCAAGCTATATTTTTCCTTCAATAAATTTGCAGTTTTCATAAATCAGGTCGTCTTCGAAGATTAAAAAAAAACAGTTGTTTATACCTGTGTCTTATATAATTCAAGAGAAGAAACCAAACTAGCTTCGTCCAAATCCATCCCCCCTTTTTAACAGACAGGAAGTATTCAATCTGGACTATTTTTAAAAGCAATATCGGACCGACTTGAATGTCCGTGTTTAAGCATATAGATATGCCATCATATATCATATAAAGCTGGCTTTAGAATAAAAAAAATATACCATAATAATAAATCTTGTACAAGTGTATCTTGCAGTATAATTAATTCTGATGAGGACCTTCTTGAATTCATAGTTGACTGTTCTAGGAACAACCTTATACCAGTGTCTCAGCTGAGAGATATAGAACGAATTTCCAAAGACTGGATCTATGCATTGCATGCTAAAAGAACCCAACTTCTGGAAAACGAATGAACAATCATTTTTAAAGTTCTTGGTGCTTAACAATTGTGGGTGGCTGTCAGTCATGGTAATATAACAAGTGTTATACTACTTATGGTGTGTATACTTAATTAAATATTAACTTTGAAGTAACACACACACATCTTCAGATGAAAAAATCCAAACAAATTTCATCTCATCAGATAACTTTGAAAACGTTTTGAATTTAGAATTCAAATTAGACAGCTGTTGAGGTCTTGTATCTTTTAGAACAGGACATTTCAAAAGAAAATGTAGTTCATCTTCTCTGTCTTCAGCCTTTTATCTATACCAATATACCTCCCTCTTTCAATTTCAAGGTCATGACAGCTAGTTCTAAATCTTGTAATTATTTGCCTGTCTTTTTTTTAATTAATTATTAAATATGGTTCAACTTACATAAAAATATTTTTAAATTTTCTGTAAGTTCTTAAGTTATTGCCCGACTGTATATTGATACTCTTCCCAGAATTGCTTTCAAAACAACTGAGCTACCCAAATTTCTTTAAATTTTATTGTTAGAGAATTTTTTACTTTTTTAGATATATGGTTTTGTTTAAAGTTTGACTGGTTAACAAATAGATAGTCTTGGAATTTAAATATATGTCTAATGTTCCTATCCAAGATTACTGGTTAGATTTGTTCATAGAATGGGATAGATAATACATGTAATACAAATAACATTTGTTGGTGTGTTTGAGGACTATTCTGTGGTCAACGCATTGTAGAACTAACTCTTTTTTATTTTATTTTTTTGACATGGTGTTTTCTGTTCCCTACGATAAATAATTTTTGCGCCTCTCCTCCCTTTTTGCCACCTCCTTTCATCATTTCCCACCAACATTTAATATGTTTCTTAAAATAAAAAGTATCACGTGATACTTTTAAACAATGCATGACGCTTGTTTTAATATCTCCTACAATGATATAACCACATTTAGCAACGTCTTAACTTTAAATATATAAATAAACAAAACTCCTAATTAAACTTAAGCGACTTATTTTCAAAAATAGTTATTACAAATTGTTTGAATTGAAAAAGATAACGGATATTGTATCTTAAACTATTTTATTGATTTTAAGTCTAACCTTAAGTATGTCTATAGTATTATAAATATTAATTGTTATATATTTATGTTGAGATAGTGTTATTCTTTATGGTGGTGTCAACAGCTCATAAATAAAGGTCAGTAGAACGTGTAAGAATTTTTCACTTTTACAATTTACAATTTTTACATGAAAATTTTCACGAAAAAACATACTCCATAAATAAAGATAAGCAAAACTTTTCATACCTTTTTCCATTTTTATCATTAACTATTTCCATGCATTCTAGAAAAGAAAAAACCTATAATATTTACTTTTTTCTGTTAAAAAATATCCGTTTCCATCATGTCTCATTGGCTTGATCTTCGTAAACATTATTTCTTACTGATCTGTTCTCTCTTAATGGTTAAATTTATTTCTTATTCGGCTTAAAACTTTTCATATTTATTTTCAGCTTAAACATGGGATGTTGTGACGGATTATCTAAATGTTTTCTGATCACATTCGGAATATTTTTCTTGGTAAGAAAGTAGAATTGTTTTTGTGGGTTTAAAACAAACAGTGAAATAATATTCACCTAATAAAGTATCTTTTGTTTCCTATGAGTATTTTTTCATAGACTATATGGCAACATATGCCTATGGTTCGATTAAAGACAAAAGAATACGAATTAGAGAATATAGAACAATTATCAATATTTTCCTTGCATATAGAATATGATGTGGTACGATTGCCAATGAGACAAATATCCACTAGAGACCAAATGGCACAGATGTTAGCAACCATAGATCGCCGTACGTCCTTCAACAATGGGCAAAAACCACACCGCATAGTAAGCTATATATTTCCGACATAACAAAACTAATAACAATTTAATTTAATGAGAAAAACACTGGCTTGATTTATGTATAACAACAAACGAAAACCTAATACGATATACAGTTACAAAAACAACCACTGAATAACAGTCTCCTGACTTATGACAGGCACATAAGAGATTGTGGAAGGCTTAAACATGCATGTATGGGGCGCCTAACACTCCTCTACCTTGGGACAGTGGTGCAAAAGCACAATACAAGAACAAATTCTACAAAACAATAAATGAAAATCAAATACGATATACAGCTAAAAACTCACTCAATTGCAGGCTCCTTCTGCCTAGGAACAGGCACATAGAAAATGAACCGGCGTTTAATATGTGTGCGGGCGTACATCCCTCCATTAACCTAAGAAAGTGATGTAACAACACAACATGTGAACAAACTATAAAAAATAGTTGAAAAGGGCTTGACTAATATTTAGATGCGAACATGATTGTGCTAGTGATTGCTAACGTTATTTTTTATAGACATTACATACTAGTAGTCCAAAGTGATACATGCAGTCGCAGAGTAAAATAATGTTTGTCCATTTTTCAGCTGTTTGGGGGAGCATGTATTGGTGGAGGAATTTTTGTTATCGTATATAAAAACGACATACTGATATTAGCTCGAAGTGCTACGGAAGGAGCAGTTGACAGCGTAGATACTCCATCATTGTTAGAGTCGGCCGCCTATGTCCTCATAGCTACAGGGGCATTCGTTGTGTTTATCTCGTTTGTTGGATGCTGTGGTGCATGCTTAAAGAGTAAATGTTTGCTCAGAATAGTAAGTGTCAAAATGTTGGGAAACAAAAATGAAAATATGAATCTGAATATTAATATTAATTTAATGACTACTCTTCGTAACTAGTCGATAGAAATCCCGTGAGTTATTTAAAGGAAAGTAATATAAAATGATCATTTTACCTTGCATGCTATAATCAGTTGCACAAATAGGTGTTGTAAAGTTCTATACTTTATAATGCAATGCAGAGTTGAAAGCCGAATGACATGCACCTAGAATCGCCAATAAGAATGCAAAATGTCTCATGATTGAATGTACTACAAGTATAACATACAATAATCACTAGATTTGCCATTGCAAGCAATAGCGGATGTCACCCTTCCCCCATTGACACTTAGCGGCAGCCATTCCAAATATTTTAAATAGTGAATGCACATATATGCATTGCTATACATCTTTCTGTAAATTTTCAGTACATTTAGAGCATTTTGGAATTTTTCACATTTCAGCCGTTTCCATTTCAACGGCAGCCATTTTGGAAATTCTAAAGTCAAAAGTCTCATCTATACTTGCCAGTTAACAATCATATTCAGTTTCATTAAGTTTGGAGCAATTTGAAATTTTTGACATTTTTGCTAGTTTCCATGGTAACAGAGACCATTCCAAAAATTTTAATTACAGATGCCACAATGGTACATTGGAGGGAACATACCATCAAAGTTTCAATGGATTTGACCTACCATTTTAAGAGAGGAAGTGCTACTTTAAGGTCTTTGGTTAATTTTGACCATTTTTACATTGTTTCCATGGTAACGACAGCCATTTTGGATATTCAAAAAGCCAAATTCCACATCTACAAATGTTGCTCATTGTTACTGTGAAGTTTCATTAGGTTTGGAGCATTTTGATATTTTTGAAATTTTTGGTGTAGTTTCCATGGCAACATAGTAGTTCCGATGATTGTCAAAATCATCCAAAACCTGTATATAGTGGACATGTACCTTGTATTAAAATTTAATGATTTTAAGTTCAGGCATAATCAAATAATTCATTAAACCCCAAAATTTATTTTTTTTACTATTTTTCTGTTTCCATGGTAACGGCAGCCATTTTTTGGTGCCAAAGTAGGATTGCAAATCTACATATGGTGATTACCATTATGCTTAAGTTTGATTAATATTGGTCCTTCAGTTTTACAGGAACGCTTCGGACAAAAAGGTGGAAGAAAAATAATAATAAAAATAGAGAAAAAGAAACAGAGGAAAAGCAATATGTCACCCGACATTGTCGATCGGGTGACATAATTATATCAATGCTACCTGTAAATGAGGTCAAGGTCAGACGACATGTACTGTACGCCTTACAATCATTACATACACCAGATATGGTTAACTTATTGCAGATAGTATTGAAAAAAAAACCTAACCAAGAAAACTAAACGTTGACCAATGAACCATGAAAACGAGGTCGCGGTCAGATGAACTCTGCCTGTAAGACATATGCACTTTGCAATTTTTCCATACACCTATATAGTTAAACTATTAGTTATAGTATCTGACGGATTTAACCATGCAATCATATGCTTATTTTTGAACCATAAAAATGAGATCAAGGTCAGACAATTTTTGAAACCTGTCAGACAGACATACAATCGTTTCTTAACCAAATATAGTTAACCTAATGCTTATAGTACATGCGAAACAGACCATGAAAACTTTCCATTGACTTTTGAACCATGAAAATGAGGTCAAGGTCAGATGAACCCCACCAGACAGATTTGCTCCCCCATATCATTCCATACACCAAACATAGTTGATCATTTGCTTACAGTATCTAAGAAACGGTATTAAACACAAAATCGTAAAATAATTACCAATAAACCAGGAAAATGAGGTTAAGGTCAGATGAAACCTACGTTCGCCGCCGCCGGTCTGTAATCCCTTTGTATTCAATAACATACTGGAGCATGGTGCTGAAATATATTTTGACCTAATGTTGAAATTTATATTTTCGCTAATTTTCATAGGAAACAGTGTAATAAATATGGATTTTAGCATATGTTTTATTCATGTTTAGCGCACGAATGGTCACCGCTCAAATGTAAAAGATACATTCGAGGAAGATTTCTCATTTATTTAATATGGAATGCCATCATAGGGGCGTTAAATTGACAAACCAGGTACACAACTACAGTACGAAAAGACCATACATATCTTTATTTTGTTTTCAGTATTTATCTTATTTACATTTTAATTGCAGTATGTCGTTATTATTGGACTGATGATATTGTTAGAAATAGCAGCTGTTGTCTTAGTTATTGTCTATAAAGATAAGGTATGATGTTCTGTTTCAACGTAGGCCACGGCAGGCTTTCCTATCGTAATAAAATAAAAGGGGCATTAGCTACAATTTAAACAAAATATGAAAAGACAATTTTTCTTTGTTTCATACATTTAAAATACGGAACTTTGAAATAAAATTTCGCTATAAGCAGTAAAAGAGGGACGAAAGATACCAGAGGGACAGTCAAACTCATGGATCGAAAAAAAACTGACAAAGCCATGGCCAAAAATAAAAAGACAAACAGACAAATAATAGTACAGATGACACAACATAGAAAACTAAAGACTAAGCAACACGAACCCCACCAAAAACTAGGGGTGATCTCAGGTGCTCCGGAAGGGTAAGCAGATCCTGCTCCACATGTGGCTCCCGTCGTGTTGCTTATGTCGTGTTGCAGTAAGATTGGTCACAGTCAATTTGGTTAAAATAAACTCAAAAACATTGCTGGTGTATTACGGGCTTGCAAGTCAATAATTCAACTTCATATTCATGCGACTTCAATTAAGCTGGAGATGGGTTACGCATGTGCTTAGCATGTTCAATATAAAAAAAAAAGGAATGTCAACATTTAAAGTGAAACAATGGAAGATCCATTTCATTGACCGATTAGACTTACAAAAAATAATTCTTGTACAAGTCAAAACGATGATTTAGATATTTTTTAATCCATGACATGGAATCAAACAGACCTAGACAAATGGTCACTATACGATTGCACGTGCTTTTTTGTGTATTTATATTTATATTTATATCAGGTCAGAGACCATCGTCATACTGCAGAGGTCATCTCCATGGTTAATTAGACGTTGTCTGGTCTAAAAAAAACAACGCTTGAAATGCTGATACATCATAACGAGTCCATAGATTTTTGGATTTGTTTGTAATGTGGATAAACGTTTTAGTATCCTATATATCAAATATGAAAAATTGAGTCAAATCGATGAACATGCACTTCACAGCTAATGCTCCTATAGGGATTTAGAAGATAGATATAAGAAGATGTGGTATGAGTGCCAATGTATGTAGTTCATACGTGTTTCTCGTTTATCGTTTTTATATAGATTAGACCGTTGGTTTTTCCGTTTGAATGGTTTTACACTAGTAATTTTTTGGGGCCCGTTATAGCTTGCTGTTCGGTGTGAGCCAATGCTCCGTGTTGAAGGCCGTACCTTGACCTATAATGGTTTACTTTTATAAATTGTAACTTGGATGGAGAGTTGTCTCATTGGCATTCATACCACATCTTCCTATATCTAATCATTTGGTCTCTGGTAGAGAGTTGTCTCATTGACAATCATACCATATCTTCTTATTTTTATACCAGCCTAGTGTCACAGATAAATTTGAAAACATAAACATTTTACGAAAAAATATAAATTTACAAAGATCAAGCAAATGTTTTATGATAAATTATTTTTTATTGAATAGCTTGAGACCTACGCAAAGGACAACTTACTGACCATGCTGAATGATAACTATATTGGACCATATTCTACTTCTAATGCTATAAGTTTGGCATTTGACTTGGCACAAATCGTGGTGAGTACAAAGATATATCTTAAATGTCTTATCAGATTTTTTAAAGAATTATTTCCCTTTTACTCCCCAATTATTTTTTTTTTGTGTAAAGTGATTTTTTTTATACTTCAATAAAAAAGCAAAACAGAAACTATTCTACTGTGCTTGTTACCAGTATGCTTTTCATCACAAGAACTTGTCAGGTTACAAAAGCATTAATAAAAACCCTTTAAAATGTTCCGGAGCTTTCGACTGGTCAATTTGGTCCTCTTCAACGGATCTTTATAAATTTGGTAAAGTTCCGCATCAAGAAAATACCAGTCGAAAGCTCTTGATTATTTTAAAGAGTTTTTGTTATTTACTTCACTTTGAAAGATTTTGATTTTATCCTGCAATCAGCCAACTTTTATACAAATAACAGGTACAGTACACAAACATTTGTTTGTTTTATTTGTACATGTAACCCACTTCCTTTTTGAACAAACGGTAATGTGAATATTTCTTTTTGCGTAGCAGTCCATTTTCGGGGACCTCTTCGCGGTCCGCGTTTAAACTATGTCGATTCTATGAAAAATTAGAGACAACTATTTGAATTTAAACAACTAAAACTTCAAGTGCCGGGTGTAAATTGCAGGATAAAAACAATATATGTACAATGTCAGAAATATAAAATGTATTTCTACTCGCTACAAAACAAGAGAAAAGCTCGGCGAGCCTCGCTTTTTGTCATGTTTCTAAAAGAGGAACGACAGATACCAGAGGGACAGTCAAACTCACAAATCGAAACCAAACTGACAACGCCATGGCCAAAAATAAAAAGACAAACAGACAAATAATAGTACAGATGACACAACATAGAAAACCAAAGACTAAGCATTACGAACCCCACCAAAAACTGGGGGTGATCTCAGGTGCTCCGGAAGGGTAAGCAGATCCTGCTCCACATGTGGCACCTGTCGTGTTGCTTATGTTATTACAAATCCGGTAAATAGTCTTATTCGTTAGGTCACATTCGTGAAAAGGGAAGGGTATTGTAGTTACGACATAAGGAACATATCCGATATCATCTGTGAAACGGTTATTCCATAACGGTCAACCAACTCGTGATGGCGTCCGTAAAATTTACGAAGGGATGACACCATTTGGAACTCTTGGTTTAATAGCTTCCTTGTGAGCAGCAATCCTCTATTAAGGAAATCATGATAGGAAATACAAGCCCGGGAATATCGTATCAATTGGGAGATATATACTCCGTAAGCAGGCGCTGCTGGAATGTTGCTACATAGAAATGGAAAGTTCACAATTGGGAAGCTGAAATCATCTCTTTTGTCGTAAAGTTTTGTTTTCAACCGACCCTCATTGTCAATTTCTAGATGTAAGTCAAGATATGAGGCAGACTTAACTGTATCTGTAGTATCCTTTATCTCTAGTTCGATGGGATAGATTCGTTCAACATAATCACCAAATTTTGTATTATTTAGTGAGAGAACATCATCTATATAGCGGAACGTAAAGTTGAAGGATATTGCTAACTTCTTATCTTTCTTCCTAAGAAGTTCCTGTATAAAGTCATCCTCATAATAATAAAGAAACAAGTCGGCCAGAAGAGGGGCTAAAGCTCGTACAAATAAATTTTTCCGTCAATGTACATATACTGTATATATATCTATATAATCAACAACACACAAAAAACGAAGTCCAGTTGTCAACAAGAAACAGTTGTTTTCACTAATTTGCGTATAAACATCTACATCTTTTTTATGTATTATCTGTGAAATCGGTTTTTAGGACACAAATGTTCGGATATTTACTCTTAAAAAAATAGTTACCGTTGTTTTCCTGTTTGAATGGTTTTACACTAGTCATTTTTGGGGCCCTTTATAGCTTGCTGTTCGATGTGAGCCAAGGCTCCGTGTTGAAGGCCGTACTCAGACCTATAATGGTTTAATACTTTTTCATATTGTGACTTGGATGGAGAGTTGTCTCATTGGCACTCATACCACATCTTCTTATATCTATTTACATTTACTTTTTTACATATTAAAGAAATACTGGAGGATGAAAAAACTGTAAAATTAACAAAATACTAAGGGATAATCTATTTGAAAATATTACCTTCTCATAATTTTATGTCTCTTACCCAAGAACAAAAAGTAAAAAAAATGCTTAACCCATCTATCATAGAACATGGAAAAAATATTGGCTCCTTTATAAAACAGTCATTAGAACTGGGGGCAGAAGACTTATAACATTTTTCAATGTGTTCATTTCTTATAGAATTGTAATTTTTTTTGCTATATTATGTTTGTTTTTTTTTGTTTTTTGTAACAAACTAATTATGTTTAGACGACAATCAAGATATTATTATTATTGATGTATTTTACAAACATAAATGTAATAATTTTTACCAACACTTACTTTCAACGTTCACATATCGTTTACCCTCATACATAAGCATCATTCTATATTTACATAGACTTTTTGCGTTTACCGGAGGTTTAGGAACCATCAAATAAACAACTAATAAATCAATCTGTTTTTTCTTGAATGAACGAAGATGCTATTTTCAATTCGCTAAAAAAGCTAAAACTGCTTATCAGTAATATTTACTTCATCGCCTGTATAAGATGAGGAATAGCTTTGCTTTTTTTTCAGTTTACGTGTTGTGGTGTGGTCAATCAAACTGAGTATGCTTCTATCAACACATGGAATACTACATATGCGTATGATTCAGGAGGAGGTGTTTACGTCACAGCAACAGCAACCATACCTCTGACGTGTTGTCAGTTTAACAATAAAGATGCTTTCCCCGATGATATGACAACCTTCCTTAATTCTATGGTGGATAACCAATGTCCAGTTACTCAGGCTGGAGCGCATACTACAGTAAGTAACTAATAAACTATGTGTTGGATAACCAATGTCCAGTTACTCACACTGGAGCACATACTACAGTAAGTCACTTATCAACTCTATGTTGGATAACCAATGTCCAGTTACTCAGGCTGGTACACATACTACAGTAAGTTACTAATAAACTATGTGTTGGATAACCAATGTCCAGTTACTCACACTGGTACACATACTACAGTAAGTTACTAATAAACTCTATGGTGGATAACCAATGTCCAGTTACTCAGGCTGGAGCACATACTACAGTAAGTTACTAATAAACTCTACGGTGGATAACCAATGTCCAGTTACTCAGACTGGTGCACATACTACTAAGTCACTTATCGATTCTGATACATCAACATTAACAGTGTAAGCAGTATAGTCCAAACGAAAGTGAATAAAATCGATAATATAACGCGACCTCTAAAGAATATTATCACATGGTCATAGGGACGGGAAAATGTTAAATATCCCTTGAAAGAAAAAGAATAGAAAGATAAAAGTATTCATTATTACTTCCCGGAGATATATCACTATCCCGTCCATAGCAGTTCTGAGCATGTCGTATTGTCATAAAATCTTCCTTGGATTCTGATCACGAAGCGAGAAAATCGAACTATATGACTTATCATATAAATACCCCTCAGTCAAAAACTATGAAATTTCTGAAATTCATTAGTCTTTCTTACAGTTTGAATTTCACAAGTTTAACCACCGAATGATTGAAGCTATGCTAACAAAAATTACAGAAAAAACACAAAACAATTCTAATCCACACCACCTCCTTCCCCTCTCTCACTCCTTGCACACAATTATTGAGAATTTTACTAATCACAAAAATCAAACTACGTTATGTTCCATCCTGTCATTGAAACTTTACTTTTACTCACAAGTAAATAAGTCATAATAAAACAGTAGTGTTGGTTCTAAAACTCCGGAGATCAATGTTCAATTGGTGAACACATATGTTTAACTGTATTTTGCTCTGAATTCACCTGTCTTGGCAGCTATAATTACATGACAACAAGCTATATGCTTATCAGCAGAAAGGTTCATCATTCTTTTTTTTTATTTTAGGGTTGTTATGATGCTTTGAAAGAAGAATTCAATAAGTATTTCAGCATTTTAATAGGTATCGCGTCTGGTATAGCTGGTCTGCAAGTAAGTATAATAGGTCTTGGAATTCGTTGACACACACACACACGCACACAGATTTTTAGTTTCTGAATATAAGAACCTTGGGTAAGGTACACAGATAATGAACACAATGGTAATTTGACACATCACTAAAACGCGCTAACCATAGCACAAGTAAGATAATTTCGAAAGTTAAAACTGTGGCAATAAAAACAGAAAAAAAAACCCACTCAAATGGATGTTTTTGCCTGGGTAGAGAGATAACGCATGTTGCTATGCACATTGGAGTAACAGCACAACATAAGAACAAACTATGTAAATCAGTATAAAATGGCTCGACACATCAGATCGATACAACGCACAAAAACACACCCTCTAAAGATCCGAGAATACTAATACTAAAAGCTAGTTCAAAGCCAATAACACATAATAATAAAGATCCTGATTTTACAACCAATCATTTTTATTACAGGTGTTTGGATTCATTTCTGCTTGTTGTCTAATGAAAGAAGACGAGAAAAGAGAGGAAGTAATATAGAAAAATACAATTGAAAGAAAGAATAATAGACCTATTCAGTTATTCAGTTTCAATTTAATTAAAATATAGATTTCTGATTTCGTTATTATCATTATATATACGAGCACGCGAGTTGTGATAGATCTGAATTTAATCAGATTGATTACGGTTATCCTTTTATGGTGGAACATGTCATTGGCGAACGTTTATTTTTGCAATAGAACTTATCTTCAAAAAGTGTTTGGCAATAAATTTATCTCTAATACATGCATACTTATGCAGTCAATTATAATTGGTTATAAAATGTGAACAAATTATAAGCCCATTGGAGACCATCTCCCCAAGGGTTTTCAACCTTAATTACTATACTATAAATAAAAATATTGTTTGCGGGTAACCAAATGGGTTGGAAAATACCCCTCTAATTCTCAAGAGTAAGGAGTTATACAAATAATGTGAATACACAGAACCCCGATCCAATCCATCCTTTGCTCAACTATTACATTATTCACTGTTTATATTTTCTAGAGCATTACGTTTTATATGATTTTCATTTGAGTACGTCAAAACCTCAATTAAATAGGTTATTTCCAAAATCAATTTTTCTCTGATTTGTTGAAATATTGTGATGATCCAATATATTGAACCGTCTCACAAAACAATTTCCTACACTCAAAATGTTATTCGCTAGTAAAGTATAATGATTAGGTGATATATCAGCCTCTTCAAATATAAATTTAATATGTATGCCATGATCATGCAAGTAGTTTATAGCCTCTCCAGCTAAAATGAAAAAGCTAAGATAAAGAAACAACAAAAAAAAAAAAAACAAAAAACCAATATTGAACAATGTGAAAAGTTTAGATAAATGAAAATACAGGTGATTTTTATAGTTTATTAATGTCTATACAAAACAAGACAAGTAAACGCAGTATACCAGAAAAACATCTGCATTCACGTGGTATTCGTTAATTTCATTTTCAGAAAAAAATCTTGTCTTAGAACGAAGAATATATATAATGCATGGTACATTTAAAAGTCAGATGTCTAATTATCTTGGAAAACTTTAAGAAAGATATTCTCCAAAATAAAAAAAAGAATAAAATAAGATTGTCCAGGTTAGTACCTCGCCGTATTATAAATGTGCCTGTCCCAAGTCATGAATCTGTAATTCATCAGTGGTTGGTGTGATAGATGTTTGTAAGTTGATTAATAATAAATCAAGCCGTACATTTCTTGTTTGAATTGTTTAATATCCAAGCTGTTTATAGCTTACTTATACGATATTGTTTTGCGCATTATTCAAGACGGTACCCTATAGTTGTCAATGGTCTCTGGTGTATAGTTAACATTGAAGTGACATATCAGTTTATATGAAATGGTCAATTAATAGTTCCAATTGATGTTTACAAATCCACTTTTTTCCGTAAAAAAAATGTCAGAAGGACAATCTAATCATATGTAGAAGAAGAACACCTCATGTATTGTTTTTTATTTGGGGTCCGTTAGTAAATATGTTTACCCTGCAATCAGACATCTGCAGTTATTTGACAAATAATAGGCATGAAAATGAATCGTCGACTTATATGTACATGTTTCATCTATGTTTCGCGTAATTTCTAAGCCAATGTAAAGGACAATGATAACTTCTACCGGTAACAATGTCCAATTGACGTGTTTGGGATATATGATATCGTTTTGAAATAGGGAGAGGATAAAAAGAGGACATTAAAATCTAAAGTCGACTGAAACTAACGACACGATTGTAAAAAATGAAAGACGACGAAAAGTAAAACAAGTTCACAAAACGCTAAATAGAAAAATAAAGCATGGACAACACAAAACCTCTATAAAACTGAGGATGTTCTCGGTTGCTCCGGAAGGGTAAGCAGATCCCGCCCTACTAGTGGCACCCGTTTTGTTACTCATGGTAAGTATAAATTCGCTGATGAGTCTCATTCGGAGATGTCACAATCGGAAAAAAAGAGAACGAGATTGTGATTACGACAATTCTAACATATCCGTGTTCATCTGTGATATATATATCATAACGGTTAACCAGCTCCTGATGGCGTCAGCAAAAGTTTCGAATGGATGATATAAACTTTTACGTCTTGGAAGTCAATAGCTTTCTTTGAAGTAGCAATCCTCAAGGCAATCATTATAGGAAACACACGCTCTGGAATATCTTATCAACTGGAGATATATACTCCATATGCAGGCGCTGCTGGAATGTTTCTGCATAGAAATGGAAAGTTCAAGATTGCAAAGCTGGAATAACTCCTTCGTCGTAATGTTTTGTTCTAACGCGACCCTAATTGCCAATTTCTAAATGTAAGTCAAAATATGAGGCAGACATAACTATATCTGTGGTATCCTTAATTTTAAGTTTGATTGATTGAATACGTTCAACATAGTCACTAAACGTTTGATTTTTTATTGAGAAGACATCGTTTATAAAGCGGACCGTGTAGATAATTTATATTGCTAGCTACTTTTTGTTATTTTTAGAAGCTCCTACGTTGTGTATATGAAGTTTGCCTCATACGAATAAACTTAAAGAAACAAGTTGACAAGAAGAGAAGCACAGTTGACTCCCATAAGAATGCCAATTGTTTGTTGAAAAATACATCCTCCATTCGTACAAAATATGTTGTCAGTAAAGGAATTGAGCATCTTGATGTCAGTCTATGCGAATCTTTTGTTTGAACTAGAGAGGTTTTTGACCAAGTATGATATGATTTATACCTTCCTAAAACAAGATATTTGTGTTAACGTATCTCTATAGTAACACATTTAAATGGTACCAGTTTAACTGTCGAGATGAACTATGCAACAGTAAATATCCAGGATCTAAAGTAAAAGTAAAACAAAACTCGGACAAGGAATACGAGCTATGAATAAGACTTAAAGTAGGGTGTATTACTTAATTCAAATGATTTTTGACGCATGAGATATAGAAAAGAAAGGCGGAAGATACCAAAGGGATATGCAAACTCATAACTCTATGATAAACTGACATCACACTGGCATAAAACGAAATACGACTAAAAGACAAACAACATCATACAAAACACTGCATAGAAAATTAAAGACTGATCAACACAAACTCCACCAAAATCTAGGGGTGATCTAAGGTGCTCCAGAAAGGTAAGTAGACCCTACTACACAAGATTTAACACGAGACACCCGTTGGGTTGATCATATAAGTACAATATACGATTTTATATACGAGGAAAAAAGGACGGGTGTATGGTTACGACAATTGGAACATATCTGTCGTCATCTGTGAAACAGATATTCCATTACGATCAACCAACTCGTGATAGCCGGACGTAAGATATTCGAAGAGATGACTTCAACTTCACCACTTGGAACCCTTGTTTTATTATCTTCCTTTCAGAAGCAATCCTCTATCAAGGAAATCATCATAGGAAATACAAGCTCTGAAATATCGTATCAGCTGGAAAATATATTCTCCATATGCTGGTGCTGCTGGATTGGTGCTTCATAGAAATGGAAAGCTCACAATTGCGAAGCGGAAATCATCTTGATTGTCGTAAAGTTTCGACCGAATATCATTGTCAATTTTTACATTTAACTCAAGATATGAAGAAGACTTAACTGTGTCATTTATTAGCACAGGATCGATACATCTGTCGGTGGACTATCAGTCCTCGAAGGTATCATCAGCTTTGGTACTGACATGATTTATAACTTACTTTTCTAAATTCCCCGTTCAATAAATGATAAATTATTAAGAAACTAGAGTTCGAACTCCCGAAGGCAAAGTTGACCTTAGAAGAATTTTGCGATTTTATTTAGGTTCCATTCAAACACTTCAAGCTTCTATTTTTAAAAACCAGCTATAGATTTCCTTAGCCGTATTTGGCACAAGTTGTCGAATTTTCGGATATCAATGCTCTTCAACTTTGAAATATTGGTAATATATGATTTTGCTATGCAACTGGCTTGGTTCGAGCACAACTAATGAGATTTTGTTAGACGAAACATTCGTCTGGCGTACCAAAAGAGGGACGAAAGATACCAGAGGGACAGTCAAACTCATAGATCGAAAACAAACTGACAACGCCATGGCCAAAAATAAAAAGACAAACAGACAAATAATAGTACAGATGACACAACATAGAAAACCAAAGACTAAGCAACACGAACCCCACCAAAAACTGGGGGTGATCTCAGGTGCTCCGGAAGGGTAAGCAGATCCTGCTCCACATGTGGCACCCGTCGTGTTGCTTATGTTATTACAAATCCGGTAAATAGTCTAATTCGGTAAGTCACATTCGTGAATAGGGAGGGTATTGTAGTTACGACATAAGGAACATATCCGATATCATTTGTGAAACGGTTATTCCATAACGGTCAACCAACTCGTGATGTCGTCCGTAAAATTTACGAAGGGATGACTTCAACTTCACCATTTGGAACTCTTGGTTTAATAGCTTCCTTGTGAGCAGCAATCCTCTATCAAGGAAATCATGATAGGAAACACAAGCCCGGGAATATCGTATCAATTGGGAGATATATACTCCGTATGCAGGCGCTGCTGGAATGTTGCTACATAGAAATGGAAAGTTCAAAATTGGGAAGCTGAAATCATCTCTTTTGTCGTAAAGTTTTGTTTTCAACCTACCCTCATTGTCAATTTCTAGATGTAAGTCAAGATATGAGGCAGACTTAACTGTATCTGTAGTATCCTTTATCTCTAGTTCGATGGGAACGTAGAGTTAAAGGATATTGCTAACTTCATATCTTTCTTCCTAAGAAGTTCCTGTATGAAGTCAGCCTCATAATAATAATGAAACAAGTCGGCAAGAAGAGGGGCACAATTTAATATATAGTTATAAGCCTGGTGCATAGACATGATTTATATACTCTAGAATGAACATTTTCTAAGCCTGCTTAAAATTTAAAAAGTGTTGTATTACACAGTTGAAATGCTCAGCATTCGTACCTCCAACTCACTGCCACAAATGGCCTCTTTTATTCTCTCCCAGAATTCAATATTTCCTCGTTGATCATCATGATAAGGAATGTAAGATCTCCGTTGTACAAGCTCCAACAACACAAGAGGTAAGTCACGTGGTAAGATATCTTCACAGAACACCAGTATTAACGTATTCTCTCCCTTTCGAGAATAAATGCCCTCCGTCTTAGCCATGTTGAACTCAAACATGCAATAATATGACTCAAGAAAAGATTTGGTGATTATACATATTGTTTTTCTACTTCTGTGGATGGCGTTAGTTATGTTAACGGTTATTTCTTCTCCAGGTAGGAAGTCACGATGATGGATGCAAAGTTTTAAGTTCTTGTCGTTTTCCAAGTTTTGAATGCAGTCTTCATGAACAAATTTCATATCGTCTTCCGCATAAGCAACGAATGCGTCATAAATAAAGCCCTCTTCTAATTCTGTTGATTCCGAAGTGTTCAAATCTTTACTTTTCTTGAGATAATAGTAGTAAAGTACTATCCAACGATTTCGATAAACCAGTTTAATTGCAATGATAATACAAGTAATAAAGATACCCACAGATGTGCAAACGATGACGCCCGTTAAAGATAGACATTGTTTTTCTAGTCGTGTTATACTTGTATTTAGGTCATTTAGTACCACAACACTGCCATCTTTTAATTGACATTTATATAAATCATTGTTCTGGAAATGATGGAGGTTATTTTGCATCCAACGAAGAAAATTGATTGTGTCACAGGTACATTGAAGGTTGTTATTTTCCAAATTTAAAGAAAAGTTTTGATTTTTCATTAATTGCGACAAAATGATCATGCTTTTATGATTAAACGATTTGATTCTGTTATTGGATAAATCCAATAATTTTAAGTCTGTAAGATGTTCGAAATCAAATGTTATGTCATCAAATTCGTTATTGTTAAGAATCAATTTTTCTAATGATGAGTATTGATGGAATGTAAACTGTGCCAAATTAGTTATAAGGTTGAAAGAGAGATCCAGTTCTTTCACACCAGTCCCAACATTGTTTACATACACGTCATATTCAATTTCCGAAAGAATATTATGGCTTAAATTCAAACACACAACATTCTCCATTGGATAAGCAAATCGGATGAGAGAATTGTGTGAAAGATCTAGGGTTTGAAGAGTACTTGGAATATCATAATTGTATACATGCTGTTCTGTCTTTGTATGTAACAAATCTATTTTCGCCATATCACTAGATATTTCATCGGTTCGCCATTCTATTTTCACCAAACTATTATAGCTTAAACGCAATTCTCGTATTTCTGTATAGAACAAATACTTAAAAAGAGTTGAAATAAAATGGTGGAAGACCTCATCATAGTCTGTTACAGTATTTGACAAAACGAGTGTATCAAGAGCACATGTGTTAATGTCGTGCATAAAGGCAAAAAAGCTAACATCGTCCGACAAAAATTGCGTGTTCGATAAATCTAAATATTTGATATACCTATACTGCAGAACATTACTTCTGTATGTTTCTATTGGACACGATGATAAATCGATATAATCTAAATTTTTAAGATTATCAAACGTGTTTTCTTGGAGTTCAGTAATCACACAAATGCCCGTAATCAGTGCTTTCAAACTTGTGATATTTGATGGAAAAATACCAGAGTCTGTTGAATTAACAGGAAACAACACGTCAATTTCAAGTGTTTCTAATGTTTCTACGTGTATGTCAAATATCTCACTTTGCAGTAATTCTAAGTTGTCTTCTGCAGGTTTGTTATTAAACTTTATATTTAAATACTTCAATGATATCAAGGATGTAAACACTGAATCTGGGAAGGACAGGAAACTGTATCTGAGTGTATTATTTTGCAGATTCAGTTTTTGTAATCTATTTAATCCAACAAAGGCATCTCTTTCTATCTCGACCAACTGATTAAAGGAAAGGTCTAACTCGGTAAGATTTTGTAGCATTTGAAAAGTTCCATTTCTGATTATTTCAATTTGATTAAATTTGAGATTGACGACATGTACACCAAGTGGAAAAAGGGGAATAGTTGATATGTTACTCCGTGAGCAGTCCACAATAAATATAGTGCTATTTTTGCAGCTTTGACCAAGGTTGCCAAAATCACAAGCGCCATGTTCTTTAGAATTTACCAAGTAAAATACGGTTAAAAGTATGAATAAAAATGCCATTCTTAAACTGCAAACAGTCCTGAAATAAAGAATAATGTTAACCTTTTATTATCAAGATCAAATAGACTGTAATGAGTTTGATTTTACTAACTGCAGTTCAATGAAACACTCATCCGGTTGTTGTTTTGTCAGGAACTTTTATATAGCTTACTTTATGGTTGGCGGTTTGCTCATTGTTGCAAGTTGAATTGTAACCTACTGCTGCTTTTTCCCACTTCATTTGGCCTCCGGTAAATATTTGTCTCATTGGCGATGTTACCACATCTCCTTGTTTTTATATTTAATATGTCTTACATATTTTTGTTCCACTTTTTAAAACTACAGGTAAAAAAAGAATAGAATTATGAAGGAAAATTTGGAAGATGTTTGTGGGACAATCGGAAAGTTTAAATGTTGTACAATCGGGTTAGTTTTTTTATTTCTGGATCAGATTAATCACTGTAACTTATAAAGTTTGAAATGAACATGGTCAAATATTGTCATTTACATATTTTATTTTGTTTTGTGATATTGTCTTAGAAAGAGGCAAAAGATACTTAATTGATATTCAAACTCATAAGTCGAAAACAAACTGACAATTCCATGGCGAAAAAAAGCTAAAAACGACGAAAAGACAAACAACAGTACACAAAACACCACATAGAAAACTATTGACTGAGCAACACGAACACCACCAAAAACTGAGTTCATGTTTATGTAAGTACACACCCGGTAGAAATTCTTATTCGGTAGATCACATTTGAGGGAAAGAGGACGGAGTTGTGGCTACGACAGTTGGAACATATCCGTCATCATATGTAAAACAGATATTGCATAACGGTCAACCAACTCGTGATGACGTCTGTTAAATTTTCAAAGGGATGATTTCAACTTATGATATTGCAAAATAAACAACAACAATTACACTGTTTACTTCAGACCATTTAACATACGGAAATAATGTTGGACATTCAGAACTTTTCATGTGAGACAATCAAAATTCAAAATTTTAAAACGTGGTACAATCGGGAATAAACCCTTACATAATTCCATAATGCACATCCAATATTGTTTGCAATCCAATCTTTTTCTTTTTCAAATATATACAATGGGATGCAGAGGTGTGAATTTTGTATTAGGTATGTTTGGTGCATTTGTTGTATTTTTTTGTGGTCAATCATACATAACGTATTTACTCTTAATTTACTACGGCACACTTCTAAACTAAAAGGCAATCAGATGGTGCACGATAACAATTAAAAATTTGGAGTCAATTCAGTCAGTTTTGGATAGGGAGTAACGGGTAGAAAATATGGAGGGAGGGGAGTAAAAAATGAAAAAAAGACGGACGAAGGGACATAATGATTGCTAAACCATCCATTTGGCTAATGGGAGTATAAAATAAAATACATCTTTAATAAATAAAACTAGAGGCAATTAAAATAGAAAAAACTTACCCTAAATATGTCCATGTAATCTATGTCAAAAATAACATAAAACTGGTATTTTTGAAGGTTTTCCCATCAATGGTTTAAAACGAGTTTAAATCGAATTTGAAAATGTTCTATCTGTACAATAATTAATAATGTCTTTTGAAACGGATGAATAACTTCATGTTTATAACCATTTATAAGACATCATGGAATTCAAAAGATTTAAACTCCCTGCCAATAAGCCGTGAATAATACATCCATCTGAAAATAGAAAACTATACACAATTTTTATTTCAGTTTGAGGTGTGTTTTACATAGAGACTAGTATGTGTATTCCTTCGTCCGTTCGTTCTTTGTCCTCATAATCAGCTTACAACTGTTACAGTGACCCACAACCTCTTAACCTTTGGACTTCAATAGACTTTGCATGGTCCTTTAGAAACTAATGTCATTTATTTTTTTCAGATGTCCTATGTGATTTCAATACGGACGATAAAAGCTTCTGTAATATTTTTTTTATCGTGATGATTATCAATATGGATCTAAAGAAACCAGATAGTTTTCTCAATTCCAGACATGGGGTCAATTACTTTTGAAAGTAATTAATTACATTCAATTACAATTACAAAATCTTCAATTAAATTACACATTAAATTTGACTTTTTTTACCAATGTAATTAATTACATTCCAATTACTTGGCAAATGTAATTAATTACTTCAATTACTTTTGAAAGGAAAATTTAGATAAAATATTGAAAACTTGCATTTATTTTATGATATGTACATAAGTATCATACATTGCTCTATTTTCAAATTAAGTTCGTATCAAAGAAGAGTAAAAGTTAGATATATGACGTTTTACGTACGGTACGTTGTACGGGAATAAAGTAAAAACATACATAAATCGGAAGTGCACATAATACTTTGTCTATCAGGAAGCCTTAGGACTAGAGGTGTGGTTAAATTTAATGCTCAAAATGATAAAAAGCTTTATTCAATTTTTGAAAATATCAAATTTTATATTTTAATGTATTTCATTGAAAATAAAAACAAAAAGAGAGCCCTAATATTTTGAAATGATTTTACATTTTGATCACAACTTAGTAAAAAAATTTCCGAAAGAAATGATTTAGAAATCCTGACTTTTTTTTTAAAGATACTTTAGTCTTAATTATAAATAATTGATTTATAAATAATTCATGTTCCTAGGGGTATATTTATTTCTCTCTAATTGGCTTAACACATGTTAACATGAAAACATAACTGTTGAAAAAACAGTCATTATATAGTTTATAATCAAACAAATAGCCAGAAGTTATATTTATTGATTGACTATCAATTTAAATCAATGTCTATCTGAATTTAGCACATACTTACAACTTGTCGTCCAATCAAATTGCTAGAATTTGCCTTCTTATTTTCATAGTACAGAACTTTTCCGTCTACTAAGTAACTCCACATGAATGACCACAAGGGTAAGATTTCATTGTATCGTAATCAAGATTGAAATAAAATGCTGTGTTCCAAATTAATTTAAATAGTTTGTAATATAGTTTTCACATTGATTTTTTAAATATCCTGCTATTAAAATCTTTGGATCTAAAAAAATGTTTTTGACGATTGCAAGTTTCTTTCATTTAAATAAATAGTAACAAATATGGTTCTTTATACCTTAATTAGAGTAAAACTTAAAATTGTGATAATTTATCATCCATTCAATTACTTTGTACACAAAAAAGTGTGTACCATGAAACCTTGTGAAGGGAAATTAAGGCATCTTGATCTATTTCGTCATGATTTGATTGAATATTGATTGCTTAATGTCCAGTGGCAAATATTTCATGCATGTTCAGGACGATGTCATGAATTGAAAAACCGTAATAATGTCTGAAGAGAATATGACACCTATATAGGTTTAAGAACATTTGTTGTTCGACCTGATAGTCAAATGCGTTTTGTTAAAATATACTTTTTCACTTTTTGGGTCTTTTGGAAAATGTTGTTTGTGCTGTGTTTAGACCCCTCTAACAAGAAATTTGTTTTGCATGCACACGTATTAAAATTGCAGTTTTTATCCAACGCAATCATAGGTTTGAACGTTGTTTTCAATCTAGACTTGTTTATATTTTTTCGTTTGGGCTTGTATTATATTTGCCTTCGGGTTTATATGATCCGTCCATCCTATTTTGACTCCTCAAAATTCAAGAGTCTCTCCTAAATTGAGATAAATTGTATGGCTTTCCAAATACCGTTTCGATTCCAAACATCACTGAAGAGACATTAATTGTCGAAATCCGGATATGGTGTACAAAAACCTTTGCACTTTTTGTTTGCGGTATACCATCTTTTCCGCAAGTTTATTGTTTTCTGTTTAGTATTAAATTTATAATTGAGATCCATTTGTTACATCGGTGTTCCGTTTATTTGGCAATCGCCAATGGCAGTCAGCAGGGTTTAAGAACATTTGTTGTTCGACCTGAGAGTCAAATGCGTTTCGTTAAAATATACTTTTTCACTTTTTTGGTCTTTTAGAAAATGTTGTTTGTGCTGTATTTAGACCCCTCTAACAAAAAAATTGTTTTGCATGCACACGTATAAAAATTGCGGTTTTTATCCAAAGCAATCATAGGTTTGAACGTTGTTTTCAATTTAGACTTGTATATATATATATGTGTATATACATGTTCTGATACATCTTTTAGTTTTTTACTTTGAAATAAAAACAAAAAAAACACAAACCCTAGTATCTTTGATCTATTGGTAGTTGCTTTAATGACTATCCGCTAGACTATCTATGGGGACATACCAGGGGCGAATCCAGCGATTTTTAAAACGGTGTTCCAACCCAGTATAGGGGGGGGGGGTCCAACCATATGTTCCCATTCAAAAGCATTGATCGTCCAAAAATGGGGGTTTTCCAACCCCCGGACCACAAATATGAGGTGCAAAAACTTTTGTACACCATGTCCTGATTTCGACAATTAATGTCTCTTCAGTGATGTTAGGAATCGAAACGGTATTTGGAAGGCCATATAATTTGCCTCAATGTGGGATAGACTCTTGAATTTTAAAGAGTCGAAATAGGATGAATCTTATCTTGACATGTGGTAGTCAAAATGAAATAAAAATCTTGAATGCTATACAAATTATCAATAATCAATACGCTGGTAATTTTTTTCAATATTGATGTTTGGAAACTTCCTCTTTCTAAACATCAATATTGAAAACATAATAATTTGTATAGCATTCAAGATTTTTATTTCAGTTTGACTACCACATGTCAAGATAAGATTCATTTTACATCTTACTGATGAAGGATATTAGTTATCCGAAATATCTAAAATTTGTCCATGATTTAATTATTTTTTGGTGATGTTGTACTCTTTTAAACTTGTTATATATTATATTTTGTAGTGTATTGTATCATAATTTTATGATCCATCGCCCCGTAAGATTTATCGTTGGCTATTATTCAGTCATTTTATATATATATATAGATGGCACATTCTCTTCAGACATTATCATGGTTTTTCAATTCATGACATCGTCCTGAACATGCATGAAATATTTGCCACTAGACATTAAGCAACCAATAATCAATCAATGAATCAATTCATGACGAAATAGATCAAGTTCCCTTAATTTCCCTTCACAAGGTTTCAAAGTACAGACTTTTTTGTGTACACAGTAATTGAATGGATGATAAATTATCACAATTTTAAGATGGCGTTGTACTCTAATCGAGGTATAAAGAACCATATTTGTTACTCTTTATTTAAATGAAAGAAACTTGCAATCGTCAAAAACATTTTTTAGATCCAAAGATTTTAATAGCAGGATATTTAAAAAATCAATGTGAAAACTAATTGCAAACCATTAAATTTAATTTGGAACACAGCATTTTATTTCAAAATAGAAAGTGGCAATTTTTGTTTTAATATCTTGATTACGATACAATGAAATCTTACCCTTGTGGTCATTCATGCGTAGTTACTTAGTACACGGAAAAAGTATGTACTATAAAAATTAGAAGGCAAATTCAAGTAATTTGATTGGACGAGAAGTTGTAAGTATGTGCAAAAGTGACTTAAAAAAATGCTCAATTGCACATCACATTCAATTACTTGTGAAATTGTAATTAATTACGGTCAATTACAATTACATATTTCAAGTACCCCATGTCTGCTAAATTCATTGTTTTTGTTTATACATATAATTATTTACATTCGTTTTCTAGCGTCTTTAATATTATCTGATATATTTATTCACTAATTATCGAACTTAGTGCTAATAGATCTTGAAATATTGTTAAAACATTTTTTTTTTATTGTTGAAGACAGTATGTCAACCATTATGTGTTTAAGGGTCATTGAGTTGCGGTGTAATGACATGTGCCCAACATATTAATTTTTTTTAATTGTCTTTACCATGACTTCATTAAACAGTAGATGCCAACACTTTCAAAGTAATTAATTACATTCCCGCCATTTTTTTTTTTCGTTTAATAGAAAACTATATTTTTTATGCTTGAAATTGCTTTGCATAGATATTCTTTTGAAATGAGCGCTTAGATATGAATAAAAGTCGATTTATGTTCACGCCAATTAAAGAAAAAAAGAACTAAACAACACACAAAAACACAAAACGACTACAAACCGTTTTTAACAGTACTAACGTATGGAATAAATTTCCGCAAAATGAATACTTATATGAAGAATGTAAATTCTACGGTCACTTTAAAGTCTTCTTTTTTGGGAACGTTTTGTAACGCTCAGTGATACCAATACCGTGCACAACGACACAATGAATTTTTTAAGTAAAATTAAAATTAATGTTTCCAAACTGATGTAACAAACTGCAGATATTTCTCTATTTAATGGTTAAAATTTCATTCAAGTCCGACACGAAATTACTTAAGGACAACTTTTTAAATATTCTTATCTGAAATATGGCGTTATATTCGAGGTGTGAAACACTTTTGACATCTGACTGTAGATATTACCGATGGGACGATGACAAGTACAATCTAGTCTTGGAACCAGGTTCAATCTCGATTTTCAAACTGTCAAACAGTAAACCAGGATCCAAGGCAAAGCTGAAAAATCTCAGACAAGAAATAAGAGATATAAATAA